CTGCCTTGGAGCCAGCTGATTATGGACTGAAACCTCTGCAAACTAGCCTTTCTCCTTTAACTTTGGATGTCAGGTATCTTGTCTCAGCAATGAGAGAAAAGTAATTAACATATGTACTGTATCTCCCATAGCTGGGGTTCATGGGTCCAGAAATCAAAGGGTGGAAGTGAGAATGTTTCCACTCACCACTACCCCAGTGATCCACTAGCAAATTCTTGCTTCTTATTCCTGTGACCTTATGCTCTGCTAGCCTAGAAGTCTTAGTTCCAGAACAGGGAAAGCTTGTACCAGAAAACGCAATAATAATTCTACTGTACTGGAAGCTGAAATCCCCCCCCCTGGTTATTTTGATTTCTTCTGCCTCTGAATAAACAAGCCAAAAAAGGAAAGGAAGTGGTGTTGCCATGGCTGCTTACTGTCCTCCTCTTGCCGTACCATAAACTGTTTCTCCTCTGTGACGCCCCTCTGCCATGCCACCCTGTCTTAGAGCCAGATGACTGTGGACTGAAACCTCTACAAACCATGAGACAAAATAAGCCTTTCCTGTTTTCATTTATGGGTGTCAGGTACTTTGTCCCAGCAATGAGAAAGTAACCAAGACACCATTTCGTGTGTGTGTGTGTGTGTGTGTGTGTGTGTGTGTGTGTGTGTGGTTTCAACACTTGTACCTACCCAGGCGTCAAGCTCAACCTATTTTATCTTAGAAGTGAGACAAAGGAAAAATACCTGACTCCATTTTTCTCTGTGCCTACTAGAGGGAGGAACATGCTTCGACCTAGCTAATGCATCCCTCCCCCTTGCCTCTCTTTGTCCCACCCCCAATGGACCGGGACAACTTGCTTCATTGTTCTCTCTGCCTATCAAACTGCCATTTTCTACTCCGATGTGAGGCAGCCAGATAGGCAGTGAGCTGCACCTCCCCACTCCTCCCACTTCAGCCCACACTGTTGCCTTTTTGAGGAAAGGATGAGGCACTTTAAATGGCCAGGATCAGAAAGTGAGGGATCTGAGCCCCTTATTTACATACCCAACATGCACAGTAGGACTTCAGCTCTGCCCTTTATTGAAAAAGGCCTGCAGTTGCTATATAAGCAGCACTCGCCAGCACTTCTTGGGGTTTTAGTATAGGAAGGCTCTCTCCCATGTGCTGACTTCCATATGCTACAGCACAGGCCATGTTAAAATACTCTCACTTTGTTGTTCCTGTAAACCTGTTCATGATTTATTTTTCAGGTAGTATGGGGCCTGAAAGTCCTATAAATCCTATAAATTTTTATCCTGAGTATTATATACAGAGTGGTCATTTTCAAAAGAACATAAACACCCAGAGCATTTAACACAAAAGAACTCCAGATATAGCAGCCAATGAAGACTAGAAGCTGGCACAGGATGGTGATGGCAGGATCTAACTCTGTTAACTGTTGGCATCCAGCATTACCTGGTGACATCAGGACTGCTAATAGAGCTTCACTTTGCTGATTCGCAATTTTCACCTGAACCAATCAAAAGAAACCTAGGCTGATTGGCAATGGAGCTATCTATTAATAGGAATGCTTTTGCCTGGCACAATAACCCTCAATTTATGTGGTACACACAGCAAAACTTCATTGCTTTCTTAAATGTTGAAAAAGAAAGCACCAAGAGAAGTTCTCACATTTTCTTCTCTCTGCCTGACCAATGACTAGAGTAGCGTTTTGTATTCTACTTTGGAGACTCCTGGTAATGAAGTTCAAATTCCATGATGTACAAGCCTGGCATTACAAGTCTTTTCCAACCCCATATGTCATTCCTCCTTGCTTGTTCCTTCCAGGGCACAATGTTCCTTAGATGGACACACAGAGCTCCAGGTCTCTGCGTCCTTGTACACACTAAGGCTCTACAGAGCCTCCTTACCTTCCTCTCCCTGGAACACTCTTTCTTAGCTTTCAAGGCTCATCTCCAGAATGATTCTGTCATGTTTTCCCTGATCCTTTTCTCCCCGCTCCCTCTCCAGTGCCTCCCCCTCCTGTGTCCCCACAGAGCCTTCTAAATGAAGTAAGCACAACTCTTTCATGCTAGTCAGTGACTTCTTTTTACATGACTCCACCCATCCAAAATTAGATTTTACTCTCTCTGAAACAGAAATCATGTTATGTTCATCTTTATATACCAAAGGATTGCTTGACACATTGTAGATGCTTTACAGCCAGATGCTTTGTGATGGTTGAATGAGTGAATAAATATGCTTAATTAAAGGTCTTCTCAAACAGAACACACTGGGTTGTTCCAGGAAACAAAAATTTCCCTTCTCTGTGTCCAAGAAAAGGCTCGTGGAAGGAATTCAAATGTTGACTACATGCATAGACTAAAAGTGTTTTCACATGAATTATGTGTTTGCCAACAAGACCCATCCAAACTTAAAATATCATGTTACAACCCTATTGTTGCTACATGTACCCTACAAGGCACCTTCAGTGTCTGCAGAAAAGTAGAAAAGTTCTGTATATTTGCTTCTGCTTCTTGATTCTACAAAGCACTAAGCATACTATGTACACAAATTCTTTAGTAGTCCTCTCTTTAAAAGGTAAAACTTAATCTCTTGCGCTCTCTCTCTCTCTCATCTTCCTCCTTCCTCTGTCTACCCCCAACAATGTGTGTTAGAATTTGTGACTTGCTTCTAAGAAATTAGATAAAGTAGAAACAGTAATATAAGACTTCACTGTGTGGAAGTTTAGATCCTAATAGGTACCATGGTTTCTTCCTTACTCACTCTCTTGCTGACTGCTAGCTGTGAGGAAACCTGCCTTCTGTGTTTCAGGTGGGATTCATATTCCCCTCACAGAGGCCCATGTGGTGAAGGGCTGGTGTCCCACCAATGGCCACATGAGTGAGCCATCTTGGAAGCATGTTCTGCAGCTTGGTCAAGCCTGCAGAGGACTGCAACACACAGAACATTTTGACTGAAAATCGATGAGAAACCTGAGCAATATCCATCTAACTAAGGTGTTCTTGGGCTCTTGATGCTGGGAAATCCTGTGCAGTGACGAAAGACAACTATTACATGCATTGACTTCAACTTTCAGAACATTAGAAATAGGTCCCCTTCCTTTCTGCAACCCTCTAGAAAAGACAATTTTAATGCAAGACATGAGGAAATAATATTTTCTAGTAAGGAAATTAACTTATGAAACTCATAGTAATCCACAAAGTATGAGAGATTGGACATATTTCTAGGCTTAAGAAGGGCTCAACTATGTTTATGGGTGATATTCATTTATTACTCATTCATAAAACACTCTAAAGTACCCATTCTATGGCAGTCATTGTGTCTATGATGGCATGCTACTTGGTCACTAAGGGAAATGGCCTATGTTTGGAGGAGGCATCTGCAGCCCTCTGAGGACATAATGACAGACATCTATGCCCTCCTTCAAACACACTGGAGTGGCCTCTCTGGGACAGAAGCTGGGCTGTGAAGGAAACATGAGAAGAGTATAAATAATGCCTTGAACTTAAGATTTGTAGGTCGATCCCTCATTGACTTCTAAATAATACACCCATCACTTTATATCTCTATAGCATCAAGTGAGCTCTTTTAATAAGTGTGCCCTCTCCACATAGTGCTCCAGACATAAAAATGAAATGTGCATGTCACAGAACATCAGTACAGGCAAAAACCTAGAGGTTTACTATGCTTTTTTTATCCAGAAATTTTTAACACCTTCCTTAACAGGAAACTTGTAGCACAGATGGAAAATGAATTGCATCTGAGTTAAGCAGAGTAAATGAAACAGGGCTGGAAAGCTTCCTGCGTGTGAGATACTTGAAGGACCTACATTATAAAAATGCTTGTAAGCTGCAAGTGTTTTCATACAATGTCATTAAGGAACCTGCAATTAAGGTGTTGGAGATCTTTCTTAAACACACGTACTCACAGGGAAATCAGTCTCCTCATACAAAAACTAAAAAGTGGGAGGTGTACAGAGCTGTTTCTATGCCCCAGGAAGGCACAGACACCTTGTGGAAATGCAGTTCCCCCTCAAGTCAAGTCAGTCTAGCCTGTGAAAATATATAATTTGCTGCATCTATGAGAGCTCAGAGTCAGCAAGTCCTCCCTAGGAGCCTGCCACATCTCCTACAAACCCTAAACTGAAGGTGTGTAGAAAAGCCCTGCCACAGTGCAAGGGAAACTTTTTTGTAAATATAAAAGCTAATGAGGGAATTTATATGACACTCCTGTTATCCCATAAGAACAAAATATGCCACACACCTGCAGCCTCTCTAGAATCAAGTCTTTAGGTTTTGGTTTAGCCAGGTTTTCTAAAGTGGATAAATGGATCCCTTAAGTTTTAGCCAGCCAAAGTCATTTCCAGTGCTGTTTTCCAGTGCCAGCTCACAATTAAAGCGCTTGAATAATTTAGAACTACTATCATCTTAAAAACAGTCCACATAATCCTTCAGTAAATGAGAGTTAACCAGAAAAGTGTGAAATGAGTAGAACCAGAATTCCATACCATTTCCTTAATATGGTAACTCTCAAAGTATGGTCCCTGGACCAGCAGCATATGCATTAAATGGGAAATTCTAAGAAATAAAAATTCTCAAGTATATGTTTCAAAACAACATACTAAACATAACAAATGCATAAAATTTTTTCAAGAGTAAGAAGTACTAAGGAAATGAAAATTCTCTGGCCCCTACTCCAGACCTCCTAAGTCAGAAACTCTGGAGTTCTACCAGCCATCTTCATTTTAACAAATTTTTCATGTGATTCTGATGTATGTTAAAGTCTGAGAATTGCTGCCTCTTGTGGCTTGTTTGGATGTCCCCTCCAAAGCCTCAAGCCAATGAGGTGGGGCTTTCTTTTTCCTAGGTGGGTGATTCTAGAGTGTGTGGGTAGGATTAAGGGCATGTGATTAGTAATCTACACCTGAGTGATTGATTTGGCACCTCCCTAATCCCAGTAGGCCGAATAAGAGGAGCAAACTGCTTCTCCTCTGCAACCATTCCTCCTACTTCTCTTGTTGCTTTTGGCGCTTCTGCTGCCATGAGCTGTGGTCCCTCTGCCACCCTGCCTTGGAGCCAGCCGAGCCGTGAACTGTGAGTTAAATACCACCCCTTAACTTTGGGTGTTGGATATTTTGTCTCAGCAATGAGAGACAAGTAGCTAACACACTGCCTTCGATATATGAGTAATGCATGATCTCACTTTGTTGGCTAGTTACAGAGTAATACGAATAGTAAAAGAGAACTTGGTTATTTTCAAAGGTTATAAAGAAAACATGTATCTACATGTTTCATGTGAAAATCTCTGGCTTCCTTGCCTAACTTATTTTAGGACTCACGGTTAAAATCCTAGAGAATATGAACCCTTAATTGTTAGGGTAACTGCTGATGTATTTGTGCAAACTGCATCTATTAAAACTTTCTAGAGGTGAGTTATGATTGACTTTAGTTTATCACATTTCTTTAATACTGTTTTTAGAGGTGAGGGGCAAAGGCAGTGCTGCTTGTGGATGGATAACAGTAACCATGTTTTGGCTGTGAAAAGTAAACCAGTGCCCAGACAGAGGGAAGTTGTTGTACAGCAACAAACACCTATGTCCGGATATCAGAGAATATCTTGAGATTCAGGACAAAGACAGGTAGAGAACCATCGCATTATAGCATCATTCCGTCCTGCCACTCACATTTTTTGTTTAGAAAATGTAAGCTTCTTTTGGAATTAAGAGGGGGAAAACCTATAATGCCCACTTGCACACAGTAACCTCTCAACCCAAGATTTCACAGCTATTAAGATAATGTTAGTTCAATGCTTCTGACTTACAAATACAGAGAGCTAAGGAACTGCAAGTGTAGTCAGTCCTTTTATAAACAACAGGAAGGGAAAACATCAGGGCACCAAAAAAATCCCCACAAATCAAGTATCTCATTGTTCTTGACATGGTTACTGTGCTCCACAGGTGTCATTAATCCCAGGAGCTCACCTGTAATTTCTTTAATCATAGCCACTCAGTTACAGCTCTACAGGTGAAAGCATTTTCTTATTTAGTGAAAGTTATTTCTACAATCGAATTCTTTGGTGGTAATCAAATAAATGATAGGGAACAAAACTATGGTTCTGAGACCTTTGATGTCATGTCACTGATTATGCAGTTGTTACTGTGTTTTTCACGTGCTATTTTCTCCAAGAGAAGAGTCCAGAATTTCTTGTAGGGGTAGTTATTTGTGAGCCTGCAGAAATAATTGTTCAGCAGTAAGTTCATAGAGGTGGGGAGAGGAAATCAGCCTGGTTAAACTCCCAGAGAGATATTCAAGCCCTAGTCTACTAAAGGCTCATAACCCTTTCAAATTATCATTCCCACTATTTTGAAACAAGCCTGCAAGACAAAACAGTATTTAAAACTCTGCCTGTCTCGCCCAACAACATCTGTTCATGTTGGTGCCATAACGTCCAAAACTTTAGGCATCGACTTTTCTACTGCAGCATCTATGCCCTCCTCTCCTGAGCCTGCCTTCTTGGACATACTTAAAGAGCTTGGTTTGTTTATAAAACTATACGTTGTCTGTCAATAGTCATATATTTTAAAAGTGTATTCATAGTTATTGACAATGTAATGAGTATATAGCCAGCAGGTTATATTTATTGATAGACCTTCTCAGTTTAAGTCATTGCAGTCAGACTGCAGACCTGAGAAATTACTTCTGTGCACTGAGCACCAACACACTGAGTGCTGATGCTCAAAGAGGGACTTAAGGAAAAGTGTAGGTTTATAACCATTATTCTGATATGGTTTTTATAATGAAAATATTAAAATAATTATTGATCAGAACTTTTAATTTTAAAAACTAGGAACTAAGCCAGATGTGGTGGTACATACCCATGATCCCCGTCCCTGGGAGGCTAAAGTGGAGGCTCATGAGTTTGAAGTCAGCCTGGGCTATATAATGAGCCTCTGTCTAAGAAAACAAATTATAAAATAAAGTTAAGAGTGACAAAGTTACAATGTTGGGGCAATCAAATATTTTGGAAAATTATTTTCTTATCACTATAAGTGTTAAAGTATAGAATACTACGTTTTTGAGTAAGACTGTAAGTAAAAATTTTACAGACTCTGTAAATTCTTGGTACACAAAGGACATCTTACAGATATAAATTACTGTCACTCATGTAAATACTAGTGATCAGATCATCAGACATATTGTTTAATATAAATCCTAGTTTAATAAATGGGGGCTAATCCACACACACTTACAACAACAATCAGACGTAAAGAAGTCAAAGGCTCAAAATATCTTTCATTCCATTTCCTAAAAAATTACTTGAATCATTTTAGGTAGCCAAACATAAAAAAGAGGGAAAAAACAATACTCTCAACTTGAAGACTGGTTCTTTTTAAAAACCATCTAGCCCTTGTTCTAACTGTCTAAAAATAAAAATGATTTAGGAGCAAAAAGGTTTGAAACAATCTTTAAGTCAAGTAGTATATAAAAGCAATTATAGGGGGTAACACATTGTATGCTGTATGGGGAAAAGTATATAAAAATGTCAAAATAGTAGCAATAAAAAGACTATAAACTTCATCTTCATGACCAGTCAGGAAATGAAAGATCCTTATACAGGCTGTGCTTTGAAAAAGTTAAAGTGCTCTATGAGTTAAAGACATTGTAGGTCATTATTACTTTCTAGAAAGGATAAAGGGGAAAAAGTATATACAACATAAAAGTGGTTGTTTTAGAACTTTCCATTTCTTTGTACATGAGCTTTCATGGGAAAAAATAAAAGGCAGATGGGGTTTGCTCTCACATTTCTTTCAGGGCAAGCAAACGCTAAGCACAAAGTGACAGTGTGGCCATACATTCCTGTCCTCATTTATCTTGACTCCTGCACATAAACTTCCCTTTAGTGTTGAGCCTCTTCACCTGCATGGTTCCATCATAGTCCTCTCCTATACCCACCTCCCCAAGAACACCTGGTTGTCTTTACCCTCTCTTTTCCTGTCTTTCCCTACTGGTATTCATTTGCTCTGAACAAAGTCATCTGAGTCTTGTTGAATGTCAACTGGATAAATCATCTAATCTAAAAACATTTTGCATGGAGAAGAGCAAAATCCAACCTAGAAGGCATCTCATTTTAATAGCCGATACGGAAAGGAGAATGGCATAGACATTTTTATGGAGGCCAATAGAGGGAAACAATAGGCTTTGGAGATTTCTCTTACTGAGTCTTTTTACCCAGATTCCTAAGCCCTCCCTAAATCAACCAAGTCTTGATCTTCCTGTTTCATCAACTAGTTCATCGAGAAAACACTTGATCTTAGAATCTGAGACTTGTATCTTAAATATACTCTCACACATAAAAATATATACATTACTTCACAGTTTAATGAAGTCGAATCTGTAGGCATGGGTAGAAAGTGTATTTATGTGCTTGCATTTGTTTCCTCTTGAGGCATTGAAAATTACCACAAATGAGCAATTTAAAACAACGCCTGTTTATTAGCCCACAATTCTATGTCAGATGTCTTGGCAGGCCTGTATTAAGATCAACTGATTAGTAACCTTTTTACATCTGGAAAAAATATAATTTCATGAGTAACACCAGAGAGTAAAGTTCATAGAGTCCATCTTAGAATTCTATTCACCATAATGATCTTAAAATAATTCATAGTGTTCTTCATTTTTGCTTTTTGTTATAGGTAGTTTGTGTACAAAGATTAGCTATTTCTAGTAGAAAACTCCCGTAAGAGCAGATATATTTTCTTTCTCAATAAATTACTTTGGTATATAGCTCAGACAAATGAAAAAGTAAGATATAGGGGAAGTGCTAAATTAATTATACCAAACCAGGCCACAAAGACGTAAGCTGCAATTTAGGCAAGAGTCAGAATTCTGTCAATGGAAATCAAGTATTACAAAGTTGAAATTTAAAAGCCACACAAAGACACATGATGTGTTGAGTTGTGAGACTAAATTGTGTCCAGGTTGAAAATTACTAAGGAATCTGCCAAGGATGAAGGAACTGAACCCCAGTTAGGAAAGGGGCCTGAAGGTTCTGGGAGTGCAATCAGCTTTTAAGTTGTACTTAAATACTGTTCCTAGGCTACATTACTTACCATAACCTGAATTAGTAACCTTGTCATATAGTCCCAATTTCTCGACCAAGTATGTGCAGCAGGTTTTTAATGGTCATCTGCTCCCCTATGGTGTGTAACTGAATGTGCAACCCTAGGAAGATACAAATTTAAATAAAGTTAATCTTTATGTGAACTATTTTATAATTAATGTGGTTTCATGTATGCTTTATCTATTTTAAGATATTTGAAATGGATAAGAGAATCTGATTTATTAAATTTGTAAGTCTGATTTATTAAATTTATGAGCTTCATAAAGATTGCAAATATCTTGCATGTTAGCATTATAAGTTTGAAAAAATTTGGTATTTGAGATATTTGAAAGAATCAAGTTATTAAATTGGTAATTATAGTTTGAAATGTCTAAGAAAATCTAGTGAATAAAGTTTCTACATAGTGTTATTGGTTAAGGGATTTAATCCATCAAATTTATAAGCTAATTGAGCATTAAATAACAAATGAAGTGTTTGAAATTGTAACACAAAATTACTAGCTTTGCAAATATAGTAAGATTTGTGAGTTAAAAGTAAAGGCTTATAAAACTAGGTTATAAAATTTATATTTCTTATCAGTTGAATTTTAACACAAACTATAAATATTTCCATGCCAAAAAAAAGCGCAGCATCTTACAGACACTAAAAACTCAATTACCATTGATAAATGCTGAAGAGCTACTATGGAACTAAAACATAATAGCTACCACTTATTGTGTACCCACTGCACATCAGTCCTGTGATATGCGCTGCTTATTTTTTAGTTTTTTTTTCTCATTGAGTTTGTTGGTACATTTTAGGTATACAGTACAGTTACATTCTGAGTTTGTTTTTTTAAGAGATACCTTAACTAAAGAATCTTGCTCACTCATTAAGTGCGTGTTGAACTGAACTAAAATCTAAAATTTGCAAAAATCTAAAAGTATTTCTCTGGCTACTAGTCAAATTCCTCCCACCATAAGTAACATAAAGCTGAAGTCAAATTATTTTAATGATTGTGGTAACAGAAAAACTTACAATAATTAATGAATTTGGTGGTTCAAGTACCTTGAGCAAACCAGAGGTAAGACAGGTGCACGGCTGGCTCTTCCCTCAGAAAAGAATGCAGTGCCAGGAACTGAGTGCACCAGCCTCTAGGCATTCAGGTTCCCCACAGTATTGACCTGGGACATGGTGTTGAGCTTTCGGAAGAGCTCTGGCCACTAAGAACAGCAGGAGTACTAGTGTGTGGGCATTTCTGCCCATGTGAGACTCCTCCAGCCATCAGTGCTCCTGCTGGAGCTTCCTTTGGAGTTGGCTAAGCCTGTCAAATTTAGCAGTCTCACCCTCTTCCCGCTCAATACAGCTTCCTGCATCTTTGTTTCCAAGGGTGTCAGATCTCCTTGAGGTCTAAAGGCGTTCACTGCCCTTGAGCTCCCTCTTACTCTTCCATGGGCCTGATGCCAATGAAATGTAGACATTGGTAATCCATCTTTGTTTTCTGCTCACACAGGATCTGAATACTTGGGCAAAACCTGGTCCAGCAGTTCAGTGATGCTGCAGTTCCCCCTCTCCTTCTGTGTCTTTCAACTCAGCCTTCTCCGGCAGCAGGTAAGCCCTGACGCCGTCTTTATGATAACAAGGTCATAAGATCAACTAGGGCTATTGCTTCCTTATTCACAACCAAGAGAAGGAGGGAGCTTTTTTTTTTTTGGTACTGGCGATCAAACTCAGGACCTCGTGCTTGCGAGGCAGGTGGCAACACCACTGAGCTAAACCCCTAACCTGAGGAGGAAATATATTTTTATAGCGTTCATGACAGAGGAGATAATTTTCTTCTTTAGATGTTCCCCATCAGTAATCTCTGCTCTACGATATGCATCGTAATGCTATCCCAACCACCATGCCTAGGAACTACAGCTGCTGTGGGATCAGCTCCAGCCAACCTGCACGTCCCCATCAGAAAGGGAACAAAGAAAATGAATTTGGGAAGCTAACATACATTTTCATGGGAAGCTCACTTAAATGTATTTTCCCTTAAGAAAATGAAGTAATGTATACTTTTAGGGAGAGTAAAAATTTGAAATTAAGTCTCAATGTACTCTATTGGTCTCTGCAGTTGACCTAATGTAAGAACACACTGGAGACTGGCTGTGCAAAATACAGTGCTTACTTCCATGTATGCCACCTATGCAGCACCCTTATTTTATAATTAATGGGGGAAATAACCCTTCTGCACTTTGAGGAGAGGGCAATTGGAGATTAAACCTAGGACATTCTCTGAGCTACACCTCTAGGCTTTCTTGCTTATTTGTTTGTTTGTTTTGCTTTGAGACAAGGTCTTGCTAAATCGCTAAATTGCCCAGACTGTGCTTGGATCCTCCTGTCTCAACTTCTTAGAGTGCTGGGATTACAGGGTTATACACCATACCTGGTTTCTTTTGCACTGTTAACAGCAAATTCTTTTTTTTCCCCATTGATTTTAGTCCCAAGCTATCATCTGTCATTATCCATCATTACCTATGTTCTTCAGAAATGACCAGTATGCCTTAATGTACTTTATTCCCCAAGAATATTTTTGTGTGCTGGCTATTTCCAATTGTTTAAGTAAAATGGTCACCTATCAGTTAAGGTTCTTAGTTCCAGATTAAAAAGGTTAGCATCATTGAACAATGTTCAACATCGTACCATACCATGTATGTAGAGATTGGCACATATACTGCTAATAACTCAGGCAGCAGAGGCCAGAAGTTGCCTTTTGGAACTTAGCCAATGCAATTTCTGGGAGCAGGGTGCTCTCTGGCCTATCCCCTAGACTTACCAGAGTCGATTCCAGAGAATTCTTCCTCTTTGAAGTCACTGAGTTCCAATTCAAACAGGATCCAGTGTATCTTGGAGTTAGAGCCTCGGTCCTGGGCCACTGCTCTGGCTTGCACAGAAGTACAAGAGAATTTCTGTACTATTTCATCTCCAGGTTGGGAAGTGATCTGTGCCCCTTAACGTGGAAGATTTCAAACGCTGGATATTTTGCACTTGCTTTGGTTCTGCTTGTGTCGCCTGTGACTTATCATGAAAAAGACTTTGAGAATTATTTTTCTGTTGGTAGGAATTGAACCAAGGTCCTAGCACATGTTAAGTACATGGTTCACCACTGAGCTGAAGCACCAGCCCTCAGTACCTAAATTGTGTGAGGAAAGAATACACTAGTGGTCAAGGGCCAAGCAGCAGTCACAGCTTCAACAGTCCCTCTCAGTTTGGACCTCCTTGAAACTGTTTACCATGAGAGTAACACTTATATACTTTTTTTTTTTTAGTCCTGTTAGATGCACTGTCTTTATTAATGCTAAACCCATCAAATTTAAAAAGAGTAGTTGCCACTGTTATCTTACTATTCCTATAAACATTTATTGTGAAAAGATTAAATTCAACATAGCAAATGTTTATTCAGTACATAATAAATGCAAGTCCTTGCACTAGGCACAAGGGATGACAAATGTGTCTTAAATTGTCTCTGGGATGACTTAGTTTTTATTTTAATTCCTACATCAAAGAAGAATTGGAAATTAACTATTCATGATCCACTTTTATACTTCCCTGTCAATGTCCATTATTTCCAGTTCTATGGAAGAGCTCCAGAGTCTCCACAATATATTTTAGAGGTTAATCTTTGCTACAATTTCTCTCTTGTTCATATTCTGAATATCATTTTGGAATCCAAGGCAATATATTCTTGAATCGAAAATGCAACTGTTAAAGATGTTAATTATTCATGTACCAAAGTTATTACTATTGTTAGTGGCAAAGAAGTATTAGAAATGCACAAATGTGCATATGCATTTGAGGGGATGTATTGTTTATGATAGGTTTGGTGGGAACATGATATTTAGTATGTGTTAGCAACAGAGGAGCCTTATGAGAAAACATCTATCAGTGCTGTTTTGGTGCAGAGCTTGTCACAATCCTATACTTTTTGAACTGGATAAAAAGGTAACAGTCAGAACTTGTTTTTATTTGAGTTTTGAACTAACTTGCGTTGTCTTCTTTGTGATCCACTCCAATTTTCCCAAATTAATTTTATAAAGTTTGTCATGTGATACTTTAAACTGTTTTTTTTCTCCACTCAAAATCAAGTCTTTATTACATTTTATCACATGGGTGATGAAGTCATAGTTTTTACTTTTCTTTCCTATATGGGTCCATGAGCTGGGGCTTGGTCAGCTGTAGCTATGGAAAAAGGAAGAATGAAGCCCTCTGTCTCTACAGTAAGAGAGCCTGGGTTTATCCACACTGGCCATGTAATGTTAGGGCATGGCATAACTTCTGTTGATCTTCACTTTCATCTCTAAAAGAAACTAACAGTAACTGTCCATAGGTGATTGCTTGTGAGGAATAAGTTCCACACTATATTTAAAATTCTTTGTCAGAGAACCTGGAGATGTCACTTTTAGATATTTACCCAAGAGAAATGAAGAAATCTACCACCCAAAACCTATACACAATTTTTTTACAACTTTCTTCATTATTGCCCCAAATTAGAAATAACCCAAATATCCATCAAATGTTGAATGGCTAACAAAATGGGATATATCTGCCTATGAAATCAGCAATAAAAAGGAATAAACTGACACATACAGTAACATGGATAAACATAATGGAAAGCATTATGCTCCATTAAAGAAACTGAGTTCAAAAGGTTACATACTGTATGATTCCACTTAGTCACCATTCTGCAAAAGGCAAAAACTGTAATGACCCCGAACAGTTCCATGGCTGTCATAGTCTCAAGCTGGGGACAAAAGACTAACCACAAAGGGCCACAAGTGAATTTTTTGGCATGATGAAAATAATTCTACATTTTGAGTGGGTAGTGAATACAGAACTATGCATGTTTGTCAAAAATCAGGAACTCTACTCTTAAGGCTGGGCATGCGGGTGTACACCGGACATCCCAGCCACTTGGCTGAGGCAGGAGGATCACAAATGTGATTTGGATCAGGAACATCCCCCCACCCCACAAAGCCTCATGTACTCAGAGGCAGGGCTGTGGAAGGCTATGTGTTATGGGGTGCTACAGCTGACCTGCTTTGGTAGGTGGGCCACTGGGGGCATAACCTGGAAGGGCACATCTCCCCCCTTGTGTCCTCCTCTCTGTGCCTACCATCTGCCATGGTGTGAGCAGCCTCCCTCCACTGAGGCCCTTCTGCCATGTCATTTTTGCGTTGGAGCCAGTTGATCAGAGATTGCAACCGTGAACTAGAATAAACCTCTCCTCCTTTAAGTTGTAGGTGTTGGGTACTGTGTCACAGTGACAGACAGTGACTAAAACAGCAAGTTCAGCCCAGCCTGGGAAATTTAGTGAGCCTCTGCCTCTAAATATAAAAAACAAATAAAAAGGGATAGGGATGAAGCCCAGCACCCCTAGAGTTCAATCCCCAGTGTCCAGAAATTTAAAAACCTGCACATTTAAGCATACATTTTATTGCTTGTAAATTCTACCTCAATAACCTGACTTATAATAACACAAGTGATACTATTACATATTGATTAAATTAAAAATCTCTTGAATTAAATTGATAAAAGTAAGGAAAAACTAAAAAATCATGGACAGAGTCTCTATTGATATCCCCCAAATTAGGAACAATTCTAAATATTACAGAACATATGGGAGAATTTACTCTACTTAAGAGTCTGCAATTATTGTTTCTATAGAGTCAATATTTTCAGTAAAGACAAACTTCTGTCTTTGGTGGGGTGGCGCTACACAGTAGTGGTCATTACAAATAGCAATTCTGCTAATCAGATGAGAGTTGAATATTTACAGGATGATGTCTAAAGCCAACTCTGAGGGAGAGCAGAGTAGCAAGACCTTTCAGAAATTGTCTCAGTCCTTTGATGCTTGTCAGGTGGCACCTCTAGGAATTCACTTTGCGTGGGTGTACCTGTTAGAGAAGGTTACAGAAGACTGCTTTATATTAATATTAGGAGTCATGATATACAAGTCTTGATGATAGCATAACAAACAACAGAATTATAACTACCAGAAATTGTCATTAGTCATCAGCACACTCCTGTGGACTGGGCTGGTCATCATGCTTTCTTGTGGTTGGCCAATCTAAAGGGGCAACTGAAACTAATCACTTTCCTTAGTGGGCAGGGGCTCAGAACTGATAAGTACACTTAGTCCTAAAAAATACATTATCTGGGGCATCATAAAAGGTTGCATGAATCTTCCCTGTTCCCATAACTCACCAAATTCAAAAAATTATCACTAGAAAAGCAATAAAAATATAATTAAATATCCATATTTTAACATACCATTTTATGTTATTCTTTTTTTCTTAATAAATTCAGTGTTGCATTGGTTTTGCTCAGAGTTAGAAATCATTTATTTTTTTAAATGTACAATTCAATGATTTGTAGTATATTCAGAGTTTTGCAACCATCGCCACAATCTTCTTACATTTTTATTTCCCCCAAAATAGACCTAATCCCAATTAGTAGTCAGTCACTCTTCACTTCTCCCTACCCTACTCTCAGCTCCCGGCTACTGCTGACCTCCTTTCCGTCTCTGTAGATTCTCCTGTGCCAGATATTGCATAAAAACGGAATTGTATAATATGTGATCTTTATCGCTTCTCTGACTTTTGGCTAAGATCAAGTGGAATCTGTGATCTGTAACTGGCTCCCTTTAGTTAACATGATGTTTTCAAGTCTTAATCATATGGTAGCATGCATCAGTGCTTCATTCTTTTTTATTTTCAAACAAAATTCTATTGTGTGGGTTGCATCACATTTTGTTTACCCATTCATCAGCTGATGAACATTTGGATCATTTCTACCCTTTAGCTGTTGTGAATAGTGTTGTTATAAACATTCATGTACAAAATTTTGTATGGATGTATGCGTTCATGTCTCTTAGGCATATGTCCAGGAGTAGAGTTGCTGGATCATGTGTTAAACCTGCTTTTAAATTTTCCAGAAACTGTCAGACTGTTTCCAAAATGCTTATAACATTTACATTTCTACTAGCAGTGTGTAAGTGTTTCAGTGTCTCTACACCCTCATCAGCACTTACTTGTCTTTTTATATTACAGCCATCTTAAGGATGTGAAGTGGCAATCACTGTCTTTGTTCAAATTGTTCATATAATATCTCTTATTTGTATGCATTTCCCAACCTTTACAAAAAGCGCTTCATATGAACTATTTTTAATAAGCTTACAAGATAATATTTTCTCTAGAAGTCAAATGAGTTGCCCAACATCATGTGGCTAATAAATGACATAGTCAGAATATTTTGACTTTTAATTTAAATTCTAGCACACATTTCCTTTTCTGCCTAACTAACCTGATCACTTTGATCATTCATTTGGATCATAGAGATAGGTGGGAAGAGGATCACATGAAGATCTCTGTTGATCAATAATAATCGTGACTATTTTCAAAGTCCGTCTTCACATTTTGTTGAGAACCAGCTATACATTTTCATCATCTTTTTCCATTCTCCCCTACATCAGAAGGAATTTGATGAGGAAACTGCTTGTCATATGGTCATATTATGTAGATGAACAAAGACTTTTTGCCCCAATTAGAAGGAAAATTGCTTTCAGTTCCTAAAAACCTATGGAAGGAAATTGTTTACATTATTCATAGTAGACATTAAAATCTGACCTAGTTACTAAGAACCCAGCAGTTGGTATAAATACAAGATTGGGCCAGGTATTGTGGCATATGATGTAATCCTAGCAATTGGAAGGCTAAGGCAGGAGGATCACAAGTTTGAGGCCAGCCTGGGCTACATAGTGAGATCCTGTCTCAAAAATAAACAAGATTGGCTCCTACATCATACACTAAATCCTTACTCAGCTTTCTGAGGACTTTACCTTTGTTAGATTTAATTCCCCCTCATCCTAAGAAAATGTCTTCATGAAAGGAAACCTCCAAGCCACCTATCCTCCTGTGCTGGGGCTTTTGAAGGGTGCCTTTGATCCACTGTCTGGTCCATGGCTAGGGTCAGATGTTCTGAATTCATCCACA